GATGTAGGGTAAAAGTATCAGTATTGGTATGTTGTAAATGCCAATACTGATCCTGCATTTACTTGGTATCAGATCAAAACCAAAATCTGCAGTATGGCATAGCACTAATGCACAATACTTTAATTAGACTGGATGTAGCTTATAGCTAATTTCCACAATGTCCTTTTTCCTGTAACCTGGCTTATTTTATTCTTTTTAGTAACCAAGGATACTTTGTATTATTTTATATTACTCCTGCATTTTACCGTAATATTTTGTGATGCCATTTTTTAATGTAATCCAAATATAGAGGGCTGTCTGTTTGTTTGCCCACCAGATATTCTTGCAATCTGTAGAGTCTGCTGATAAATTTATATTTTGAAAGGGAAGATGAGGTTCTTTATACATCCGTTATCAGTTATTGGATTAGTAACTTAAATATTTTCTTAAAATTGCTAAAATATTTTAGCTTGGCATTGATAAAACTCCGTGGAACATGAGCCTGCCGGAAACAATTTCTTCATGGGACGCACCCTTCTCCCGAAGCTCGGTGTGGGGGGAAAAGGCGGTCTTGACTGACAGATGATACAACCAATCCATTGTGTCGTGACGTAGCTCGTCTTGTCCAATGATTATTCTAAAGGGGGCGGGGTCAGTCACAGACACCAGCAGATCAACGCTCAGTGCGCCTTGCTCTCTAATCCCATTGCAGACCCAGGTTAGGGGAGAAACAAGTAATGGAAATGGTTCAAAGGAAAATAGAGGAAGATGGTGACATTCACTGCAGAGGTAATAAATGCAAAATCAGATGTGAAGTCCAAGATGGAGAGGATTCAGATTATTGTTAAGGCAGCATGCCATAGTTTAGATAAGAAGAATATCAGGTGAGTGGATGTAAGGGGGGACTAAGTAGTCACGGAAGTCAAGAGGGATAATGTGGTGGTTAATTTTTTATAACCACATTAATCCTAAAGTGGAATACAAGGAGTCTTTTGTCAAATGGTCAAGATTTTTAAAAAGTTTATATACAATCATACAGAAAAATCTGACATTTGTATTCAGGAAACATGGTTGAAGCCTTTTTGGGGGTTTTAGAGTGTATGGGTATATTGCGGTTAGATATGATATGAAAGAAGATGAATTAAAGATATTTCATTTTTTGTTTAATGCTGGACTCATCAAGAGGATCTAAGGATATAGAAGTGATGTGGGAGTAAAACCCAGAAGATGGCAGTAGTGCAACATCGTTGGATGCAGGCTGCCTTTAAAAATGGAAGAAGAAGAAGAAGGAATTCTATTGTGGACCACTTATCGGAGGAGCATCTGTGGTAACTACGGGCACAAGCAGAAATACCCTCTCCTCATGCAGCACTGGAAAATACAATAACGACACACCTATTCTGCCTCCACATTCCTACAATGATCTGTGGAAAATAACGAATTGTTTTTCTGGTGGAGACAGCTGACAGAGTAAGTAAATGATTATGATCACACACTGTAAATTGAGTTTTTTTAACCTAAGTGTTGTAAATGGCTTTTTTCATTCATTTTTCTCTTATAACTGACTGTGCATGCCTGACTGGATCTGCTTAATTTCTCTAAGGAGAATAATGGCCGGCGGTTCTGAGAGTAAACAAGAAGAAGAGGCACTTGGCAACCTAATTGTTCATTTCCAGAGCTACTTGCATGGAGGAACCTCCAGCTTGTTGTCCACCCTTCCCACCCTTATCGTCTTTCCTGTCTATAAGACTGTTTTTCGTCAACAAATCCACAACACCTCAGTTCACAAGGCAGTGGCACAGCTCTATAGAGAGGGCCCTGTGAAGCTCTATAGGGGTGTGGCTCCACCGTTAGTGATGAGGACGCTGAACGGCACACTGCTCTTTGGCCTCCAGGATACCCTCCTCCGACAGCTCCCTCTGTCATCCCAGAATGTCATCTCTGCCAAGGCCCTTCCTGCTCTGGCAGGGTTTGGGGCAGGTGTTGTAGAAGCCGTGGTTTTTACGCCCTTTGAGCGTGTTCAGAATGTGCTGCAGAACAGCCAGAATGACAGTCGTCTACCCTCGTTCAAGAGCGTCCTTCTAAGGCTAAAGGCAGAGGGGATTGTTTTGGGCTACTACAGAGCCTTCCTGCCCATTGCAGCCCGCAACGCCTTCGGCAGCTCCCTCTACTTTGGACTGAAGGGGCCTGTGTGTGTTGCTGTGGCGGAGCAGGGGGTCTCACCAATGGCCTCCTCTTTCATCTCAGGAACAGTGATATCAGTGGCAGTCAGCTTGACTCTGTATCCACTCTCTGTGCTTGTGGCAAACATGCAGTCACAAGTAGGTGGGGACGTTAAAGGGGTCATAGCATGCTGGGCTCTGCTCTGGAAATCTCGTAATAGGAGTTTGGCGTTACTGTATCGAGGAGGTTCCATGGTTATCCTGAGGTCGTGCATCACTTGGGGACTCACCACTGCCATTTATGACAGGCAGGAGAAACGATCAGGCTGAAGATACGTGCTCCAGACATTTTTATCCACAAAAGTGTATTCAATTTTGATATTGTTCACAGGAGACATTTTGACTTATAACTGCAAGAAAAAAAACGTATTGATAAGCCTTTATAGTGTGGGAGTGAACTACCACAAGCAATTCCGGTACTCTGAAACCATAACTTTACAATTATTCAATATATTACTTCCACCTGCGCTTCTCTGATGTTTACTGCAGTGAGTGAAGAAAATGCAGTCATACTAACAAGCTAATTTTCTGTGTCAAAATGTGCTATCAAGCTGACAGCACCACTGCTAAGACTTCTGGTCTCAGAGATGGGTTTGAATAGTTCTCCTTTGATGAAGTTGTCAGTCACATATGCTTTGAATTTTTATTGTTTTGTAAGGAAAGAAATTTTGCTTAGGACTCAAAAAACAAGAATTGCTGTAAGCCAGCCAGGCTTAAAGAACGGATGCCATAATATAGTCAGAAACACAGATTAGTTTTCTACTACCTGAGAATTAGGATTATTGTGCACTGCTGGTAATGTCATCACACAGCCACAATGTAGTTCTGCAGGGGCAGTCCAAGATTTTTTGGGGCCTAAAGCAGAATTTGATTTGGGGCCCATCAACCACCCACTTTAGCGCAGCCACAATTATCCATGAATTGTCCATGTTCGATCATTTGTCATGTCATACATGATCATGCCTTTCTAGTGTAGTGGAAAGAAATAAACCAAGTTAACTTTTGTAAATTCAAAACATCTGACTGTTCATACTGTTTTTAAAATGTGCAGAATGGCAGAAAAGTATATTAATTCATAAACATACCTTTATCCCAATGCTTCCCCCTCATTTTTTTTCTTTTTAGCAAAATAAGTCTTTTTTTTTTTTTTACATATTTGCTGCGGTCTACTTTAAAACACTTATAGTGGGCATGAACGTGGCCGCAGCTATGACAGTGAAAGTGATCAAACCAGTAGCATTAACCTGTCATTTTATTAAAATATGTATCAAAAATATTTAGCTTTCTCTTTCATGAATACAACTTATATATCACAAAAATTTAACATTTATTAACCTGCATTGTGTGACATTTCAAATGCTCTCGGGGGCCCCCTGCTGGTGAGGGAGCCCACAACCAGCTGCTTAGTCTGCTTATAACTGACACATTGACTTATGCTTGTCCTACTTAAAAAAGGTCACTCCCTCTTTCTATGCTTCTATGAGGTCATTTACAACAAGCGAGTTGTTAATATCAGCCAGGTACAGCTTGACCACGCACACCCATTGACGAGAGTGCAAACTGCAAGTCGTAAGGTACTATTATTATGTGTTATGAAACAGGTTTTCTGTGCACAGAGGGAGTTATGTTGTAGTTCAGTGTAAAACACTGGCACTATACTGAATTATATTCAGTCTTACACTTTTTAATGTAATCTGTTATTTCCTCAGGACTGTCAGTCTTTCTGTAGCCAATGATTGAAGGTAATAATCATTGTTGTTTTACTTTTTAAAAAGTTAATTTGAATGTCTTTTGTTTGTGTGAAATGTCATTTTTATTCTGGGCATTTTATGTGCTAAAGAGGACAACCTACTGTGACCCATTAACTCACCTGTTGTTTTATTATTATTATTTTTAAATGATCCTTTTATACTGATCCTTAGCATAAGACCCCATAAATCTATGTGCCGTTTACATCTGTGGATTGCCGTCTTTTTGCAAGATAAACAATTTCCTTCTGAAAAAAAAAACCAAGGTATTAAGCCATGTATGGTCTCAATATATATGGTGACCATGAATCATCATATACATATTATGAATTAAAGACTGTAAGAAAATAAAGCTAAGTTTCGGTCACTACTGCACTGTTTCCTGACAGCAAGAAGGTTTTGGGGCAGGGCTAAGTGGGGCCTTCCTTTGAGGAATTTTCCTGCTCTTGCTTGTGGAAATGTCCAAACACATCCCGACTGGATGAATCAGGAAAATAATTCTTTGCTGCCTCTTGTTTAGCTAGGTTCCCCACACACACACACCCCAAGAGCATGCGGCTGCTTCCCCTGAAGGTATATAATTTGCTTACAGCGTATAACAGTAAAAGAACATGTATTTGACTGTCAAAACAGCATATTTTCCCCTATTTACTGCCAAACAAAATAACAGTTACTGGAAAGTATCGGTGTTTTCCCACCAAGTGCATTAACAAATTACAGTCATTCGACTTTAACTGGTTTCTTTCCCTTTCTTGTTATGATTATTTTTAAGTTGGCTTGTCATAACTCTGTAGCCCACTAGATGGTACTGTGCTAAAAGAGAAAAACGTGAAATCCATCACATCACCTACAATAGGTGTCCGTTTTTCCAAACGTGCGGATACGTGAAGGAATTCATCATGCGATTGCAACACTGCATAGGAAGAACTTTGACCCAACATATCATTTTTAAGGAGGTTTGAGAGGGCGGTGAGACATCAAGAGTGTCCAATTAAAATTCGCCTTCTGAGCTTTGAAAGCCAATGAGAGCCAGAGGACCGGTGTCCATGTTGGCGTGCACAAGGGCGTGTTGTCTCTATTTAAACCGTTGGTTTTGCACGGATTACACACACACACAGTTACCTGTTAAAGATTGTCTTGCAACGCGGTCCTACACCAGGTAAAACTCTTTAAATTGTTTTGTTTTTCCAGCTGTCTTAGCCTGCTGATAAATTATTTTTTTCTTAATTGCTAAGAAAAAAATGCGAACGAATTGTTTATTTTAAGTGATTATTTATGTGCTGTGTATTAAAATATGAAATACGTTATGCAACGTTTTGGTATGTATCTCTTTTAGTACACTCACTGGTGTGTTAGTCACTTCAGTTATGGCGCAGGGTGTGTACAGATGCCTGACAGTGCCTCATTTCTCTGCCCGCAGATTAGGGCTGTCTATAAGTCTTTATCAGGCTACCTAAGGTTAATTTTCCTAGACAGCCTGGTCTTTAAGGGGTATTTTCCCTAGGGTGGTGTTAAAAATAAAAATGCACCCATTATTCTGTGCGGTCTATTGCTGTGGACAGCAAAGAAGACAGACGCTCCCCTAATGGGATAGGTCACTGAATTTCCTAATACTGCAGTATTTATGCCCTGACTTCAGTCCTCCTGGAAATATTAAATTCCTATAAAACTTGTTCCAATGCACATGCGCTTCTAATCTTATTTGCTTAGTTGGCACAGGTGTAAAATTCTCCGTATCTCTTTAATAACTGTACATAAATGCAAATCAGTGCACAGACGCACCATTTTTCTCTGTTAACAAGAGCCATTTGTGGATTTGAATGCCACCCAGTTAAACACTACATCACGTTAGTTCACCGTGGTGAGATAGAGGTACAGATACTTGTTGTTTCAGGTGACTGCATGGTTCACAACCTTTTTTTTTTTTTTTTTCTCTCATGTCAGGTGGAACTTGGTTTGTGTACATGTATGGGCATGCACTGCAGACAAGATCTTAGCATGTCAGTGAGATCTTGAAAGCACACAAATTCTTCTCTTAAATCTCCCCTTTTCTGTTTTATAGAACTCCTCCAAAATGAGCGACAGCAACCCAGTCAACCAGGAAGTGGAGCAGTTCAACAAGCAAAAGCTAAAGAAGACTAACACGCAAGAAAAGAACCACCTTCCAACAAAGGAGGGTAGGTCTTTAAGACAAAAGAAGTGTGCTCCAAACAAGCCTCTCATTTACTTCTTTCACCTTTCCCCTTTACTCTGGCTCACTGGTTGGCTCAACTCCTCCCTGCCTTTTTTTTTTTTCTTTTTTAAATAAAGGTAACTGCAAATATTGCAAAACAAGGACCACACCCAACTACCTGAGACCTTGTACTTAGCACCAACCTGTAAGGAAGAAACGCACGCATATTCCCACTCTTGAAACTCTAACCTGCCATCTACCACTAAGAGTGGAAGAATACAAATTTTAGAGCAAATAAACAGAAACCCCAATCATAAACTGCACAATGGTGTTTTTTTTTTTTTTTTTTTTTTTTTTTTTTTAAATTTTTTTTTTTTTTTTTTTTTTTTTTTAAAAAAGCAGTGTTCATCTCTGGCGTGACATGCAGCAGCAGAAAGAGGAGAATGAAAGTGTGTCAAAATGCCCATCCTTCCCCTCTGAGGCTGTGAAGCTCCCTGCTGTCTAACTCAATCTTTCTTAATCTGAACACAGCTGTGGCTACTATAAGAGAGAAGAGGCTCAGAAGCAGGTGGCACTGTCAGTGCATGCTGTCCTCTTTATGAGTTCTAAAGCCTTTTCTAGATATGTGATATGCGGTGCTGCCATCCAGACAGCAACGTTTCTCATTGCTTCATTAGGACAAAAATTGGACTTTAGGCACAGACGATCATCTTCATCCAGAGAAGTGGTTTGCACTTCTGGCTGTAAAGTAGAGCTACAAGGCCCCATTTTTAGCTCTGTCTGTGGCTCAGAGGTATGTGAGCACTCGTGTCATAATGTTGTGCTCATTTATCTGTTAATGTGACGCGATGCATTCACAGTTGAAAGTGGAAAATGTGGAAGTGATATGAAAATGTTATTCATTCATTTCTGTCACGCCTATTGCAACAAAAAGAAAGTGGCTATGAAGATAATCTATTCAGATACCACGCCATCTATAGAAATGAGTGGATGACTCAAAGGGTGTTAACTGGACAGCAGCAGGATAACTGCCGTAATGCAGTACAGACAGAATGTCTCTTTGTGCATGAAGAATTGCAGTGAATTGACTAGTAAACAAACATTCCTTGAGTTGGGTTAATATACTCAGTGGGAGCTTCACTAGCCCTCTGTGCTTAATACAGCAAGTGGGTTATGGTTGGTAATATTTAAAATTTTTGTTTTTTCTTCCTCACAGAAATTGAAGCGGAGAAGAAAGCCATGCAGCAAGGAAACTGAAGAGAGTCATGAGTCTCCTTCAATCGACCCCCCCCCGCTACCTGCTCGTCTTCCAAGCCCAACCATCCCCACCTCTGCCTCAGTTTTCTGTGCCACGCTGTCTTTGCTTTGAAATGGTGTTTGGGTTGACGCTATGGGAAAGATCTCTGTGACTAAATTAAGGCAATGGATGCATTTTATTGTTTTGCAATGCAGTGTAGAAAAGGGTTGAACAGGGCATGATAAACATTATACAGGGTGTAGACTTGAGCAAAAAAGGGAGGGGGGGGAATCATAATTTCAACATTGGAAATTCATCAATCATGTTATATTACTATACCATATGTATGCCTGTAAATGGTGCCATTCAGGATGTTTTATGAAAAAGGACATAAAAGATGATATTGTTTTTAATAAAAAAATGTTCAAAAACTTTGAGTTACTTTGTTAAAAATGAAACCAATGAAACTTATTTGAGCAACTTGGCATCTTCATTTAAAAAAAACTTTATAGACTGATTTTCACATTCACCAGTTAAAGTATTTGAGGAAAGCAAATGCATATGATGGGCTCGTTTAAATAAAAACTTTGGAAAGAAACTGGAATTTAAAAGCATCAGAGAAAAGATACAAACAAGCATGAAGCATTAGTTGAAAATTAAAAATTTATAATGCATAAAAGCAAACCTACATATCATTTAAATGGCTGTGTAAACAGATATCGACACCTGATGCTTAAAAGCTCACTCGGACACGAGTGCTCAGTTATTATCTACTCTTTCCTTTCTCGTCAGCACTTACAGTTACACGCAATGTTGCTGTTAATTTTTCAATATGCAATAAAGCCTGAGGTTCATTTTAGGATTTTATTTTTTTTTTTCAGCATGCATAATAAAGAAAATGAGGGTTTAAGGCAGTGAAAGACACAGATAAATTTCACTGCCAATACTGGTACCAAAATATTCTTGGACAACCTCTTGCTATTGGAGTGACTAGGACTAAGAAAATTAATTATTAACATTCATATTAAGCTTTCATATTCTTTGGGGTTGCAAACATTTCATTCCAGATACCTCATCTAGATATACAACAGGTTTAAGCCTGCAGAAAAAACGGGAGTGAACGAGCTGTAGGCGTGGGCACACTGCAGATTGCCAACAAGGATTTTTAGTTGACTTTAGAGTTTAGTTTACTTTCGATACTGGAATTTAGCATACATGTGCAGGGCATCATTTACACTGTCTCTATGCATGTAAAGTCAGGATACTAAAATTAGATTATTTGCATTCTGCCTTTAAAATGTTTTGGAAAGCACAAATTTATCTCGCAGCTCATCGACTGGGCATGTTTTCCATCAGGCTCCTGTGTGTGTGGATTGCTTAAGATAGTGCAGTCTGTGTTTTTCCGCAGCAAGCCTGCTGGGACATGTTCATATAGTGGTGCACAAATGCTTGAGAGCAAAGACACACTTTACACTGTCTAACTTTGTTCAAAATGCTTTTACCATACTTGTTAAAGGTCGTGCAGATTTACATGTTCCATTGTGTTGTAATGAAACCTGTTCAATATCATGAATAATAAATTAGGCTTCTTTTGAGAGGGATGATGGTATGCACGTTTTCTCTTTCCGAGATCTGTCAGGATCTGTCTTTGATAAGAAACTTAGGACTACAACAAAACAGTCTAGAACATGTGCAGAATTATCATAGGACTTGTATAAGCAGATAAGGAAAAGTCAGTCTAAGATATATAAATGTAAAAAGTTCTCATCGGCAGATGAGATCCAGAACACAGGATTTCTGATATCTTTTAAAAGACATTTGATCATTCTGGTGCTATAAGAGTGTACTTTTTAACAGCTAAAAAGGCTCATACCAAAATCTGAATCTTTATGGTCCAAATATGTGCACACATACAAGAAATTGACCTCTGATTTTTCATTGCCCTGAATTTAACAGACTTCTATGTGTAATAGTGACGAAATGGCTCTTAGAGCCGGATCTTTGACGTGAACGACGCGAGACGTGGGGTTTTTTTTTTCCTTCTCTCACCCTCTCTCTCTCGCACTTTTTTTCCGGGGGGAGGGGCGGTAGTTACACTCGCAGTAGCACAGGAACAGAGCAGGAGGGAAAGACAGAGAAAGAGAGCCAGGGACAACAACGTCACATTAGAAAGGTATAGTAAGCATCCACAACTATTTTCAGTTGCAGATGATAAAGGATTCAGAAGGTTTATTCATGCAGGCCTATATGACAGAGAATGTGCATGTTCTTTTTGTTTTCATTTTTTAATTTATATTTAATTGTGTTGTGGTTTGCAGTGTTTTGTGTTGTTTCATTTTAAATTTGTTTTAAAAAAAGCTGAAAATTTAAATAGTTAAAAGTTGAACTGTGACTAGTTGGTTTTTGTATTATATGATTTATTTATTACATTTTATGTGGAGTGAATAAATAAAAGTATATTTACGGTGGCCCCTACAGACAAAGCAGCACGTAAAAACTCCAAAACACATAAAAACTCCAAAACACGTACAAAAGACAACAGAAGTGCTCCAAAATGCTGGGCGCAGTGTTGAGCTTTTGTTACCTGGTGGCTACACAAGCCAGCAAGTACCAACGACCGGATTTGGTGTGTGGTAGTAACAGGTAAATGAACTTTTTTTTTTAAATTATTTGAATATATATGAGTGCTTGTGTATAAATACACAAACCATACACATATGCTTTCAATTGTTTAATTTAAGTGATCTAGGTAGCTCTGTTTTGGAAGTTAAGTTAACGCTAGAAATGTGTTTTGGAGTTTGTAAGTGTTTTGTCTCTAGAATAGAATAGAATAGAATAGAATAGAATAGAATAGAATAGAATAGAATGCCTTTATTGTCACTATACAGTTGTACAATGAGATACAGAGCATCTCCTACTCAGTGTAAACATGCTGGGGTGGGGGGGTGGGGGGTAAAGTTCTGCAGCGCTATGTACATATGGACAGTATTAACATAGGGAAAAACATATATATATAAAATGTACAATATACAAGTCGTAAGTAATATGTAATAAATAGTGTTATGTATATACAGTTGAGTTGTTGCACATAGAATTGGTATTGCACAGTGGTGGTCCATAGAGGAAGTGGGAAGTGGGAAGTGGGGGGCTGTGTTATCTGTGCATGTGTGAGTTCAGGGTGGTTATCGCTTTGGGGAAGAAACTGTTTTTGAGTCTGTGGGTTTTTGTGTTGATGCACCTGTAGCGCTTCCCTGAGGGAAGCAGGCTGAACATGTTGAAGCCAGGGTGGGAGCTGTCCTTGATAATGTTTGCTGCTCTGGTGAGGCAGCGGGAGGAATAGATGTCCATCGGGGAGGGGAGAGGGCAGCCGATGATCTTCTGTGCTGTCTTGATCACACTCTGAAGCCTCACTCTATCCGCCTTAGTGCAGCTGCTGTACCATACCGTGATGCAGTAAGTTAGCAGGCTCTCAATGGATGAGCGGTAGAAGGTCAGCAGCAAGTTAGAGTTCAGCTTGTACTTCCTGAGGACTCTCAGGAAGTGCAGCCGCTGTTGGGCCCTTGATGACCGCTGAGATGTTGTCTGTCCAGGAGATGTCAGCAGAGATGAGGACACCAAGGAACCGGAAAGTGTGGACCCTCTCCACACACTCCCCGTTGATGTAGAGGGGGGCCAAATCGGTGCTGTGTCTCCTGAAGTCAACAATGAGCTCTTTGGTTTTCTTAGTGTTCAGTGCCAGGTTGTTTTCTGAACACCATGCTGCCAGCTTCAGGACTTCCTCTCTGTACTCTGCCTCGTCTCCCTTCGAGATGAGTCCGACTATCGTGGTGTCATCAGCAAACTTGATGATGAGAGTGTTGTTGTGGGTCGAACTGCAGTCGTGGGTGTAGAGAGAATACAAGAGGGGGCTCAGCACACAGCCCTGTGGGGAGCCGGTGCTCAGTGTGCGAGTGGAGGAGAGATGAGGGCAGAGTCTTACAGTCTGGGGCCGGTTTGTGAGGAAATCCTTTATCCAGGCACATGTGAGAGGAGGGAGGCCAAGAGCGACCAGTTTGGTGATGAGGATGTCCGGGATGATTGTATTAAAGGCTGAGCTGTAGTCCACAAAGAGCATTCGGACGTAGCTTTGCCGCTGCTCTAGGTGACTCAGCACAGCGTGAAGGGCTGTGGCGATGGCGTCTTCTGTGGATCTGTTTGCACGGTATGCAAACTGGTGGGGGTCGAATTCTGGGGGGAGGTAATCCTTGATGTGCTGAAGGACTAGTCTCTCAAAGCATTTCATGATTACCGGTGTGAGGGCCACAGGGCGGTAATCATTCAGGCTGGAGATGGGAGACTTCTTCGGCACTGGGATGATTGTGGCTGATTTTAGACAGGATGGGATGGCTGCCTGATCCAGTGAGAGGTTGAAGAGTCTGGTGAAGATGAGGGTGAGCTGGTGTGCGCATGCTCTTAGTACCTTGCCAGGTACTCCATCTGGACCGGCCGCCTTCCTGGGGTTCACTGCTAGGAGCCAGAGGCCACTGTATATATTTATATATAAACATATATAAATAAAACCACTTTTTTTACATTAATAATTCCTTTTGTGCATAATTTTATATTATTGTTAATAATAAATTAATTAAAGCAACAAAACAACCTGAAGAGCCGGTTCGGAGCCGAAAGAGCCGACTCTTTTTAGTGAGTCGAGCCGAAAGAGCCGGTTCTCTAAAAAGAGCCAGAAATCCCATCACTATGGCGCGAAATGCAAAGATACTGGAATAATTCAGCCGAAAATAAGGGACTGATAAGAGGTGTATACTACATAGATCATATAGTTTAAGTAGAACTTAAAAAAATTAAAGGTTTAAATTTTTTGTGAGTACATTATACTTGTGCATGCTTTTCTTAATTAAAACATGTATTGCTCCATTTTCTGTTTCTATCCTTAAACTGTATTTTTGTCTACGTAGATAAAATATTCGATAACAACAGCAGTGGGAGTCGACAGTTATTCACTTTATGCTTTTTTTCTTGGTATAACGTGCTGTAAGGCACCCATAGACTGCATAACAGACGTTTAAGTACGGTTATTGAATGCAGCATTGTGTAAACAGTGACACCCAGTGGTTACAATATATAATAATATGAGGTTGTTGCAGTACCATGTCCTCCCTCGGGGAGGCGCTTAAAACAACAGGAAAACCAGTAGAGGGAGGAGCGACCGCTGCTGCAGGTCTCCTCACTGAGCTAACTAAAGTCCACAATCAAGCTAGTTAGCGGGAGCGATGTGGTAAACGCTAGCGGTGATACACTAGCAGTAAGAGACCATGGACTAGCTCGCCCCCGTAAGATAACTCCAGAGGGTTATTGCACCGTCTCGACAATCACTATAATCACGCAGTAGAGCGTTTCACCTGGATGTAATTAGCTTCTTCATTCATGCGCT